GCAAACAGTAACGTGATCAGATGGTGTGATTCAAGCTACCTGTTTGGACAATACGTTTTCAACATGGATGGAAAGTTATCAGAACCTAGTAATGAGAAATGGTAGGATATATTCCCATTTATTCAGTGGGCACTATCGTCCATCTCCAAGCAGTGGTCTCCGTGCAAAAATGTATAACAGAGGAGTGATTATGGCCGTGCACATCCTTAATACTCTTATCGTTGCCATATTTTATACGTGGTGGAAAGCTAACATTACTTCTCATCATTTATTTATTTATATCAAATGGCAGGCGTTTTGGTAGTTATAATTAACCCTTTAGTTGACTTCGGGCTTCACAGAGGGGAGGTGGAACATCAAAGTGAAAAAAAGTCGAGAGGGGGGGGGACAGAAGAGTGTTTCAAAGATGTAATAGAGACAGACACAAAGGTAAAAAAATGGTGAGGTGAATTCTGTGGAGATAATCGAATAAGATAGACAGTGGGGTCATGGTAGTTTGAAATCAGATGTCAACTGCCGGTTAATAGACTTTTTTGTCATATGAGTATACACTGCCCTGGAGGTAAGTCTATCGCACACCCCTTATTTCTCAGTATTTTGCTAACAGACTGTTATAGTTTTCATAACTACCCCAAACCGGCAAAAGAATTTGATTTTAATTTTTTTTAAGTCAGATCCGATCCACCCTCACACAAAGTGATCTACAACTATTCCCTCTGCGTTGATCACATGGGTTGGGGTTGGTGACGCACACCTCTTGATCCCGACCCTTGATGTTCTGTGTGAAAAGTGCATCGAATGAATATTATATAATGTCAGAATAAGTTTTTAAAAATGCAACAATAAAATTAATTGAATGGAAGCTTAGAAAGTGTTTCCCATTTTAGTTTATACATGGAATATAAATATATTCCCGTTTATGACACTTTTAAATTAATTTTATATTGTTTCGTTTTGTGATGAAGTCAGACGTAATGGATCGAAACCAGACTATTCACGAGGCATTACAATTTTATCTCTGCCATGTTAATTGCAACTTATTAAATTTTGATATGCCAGCCAGACTATTTTGAAATTCCTAAAAAATTAAACTTCTACAACTGAGTAAAGTTAAAATTGAAATTACCGCACTACTTGTGCTTTAAAAGAAAACTATTTCATATACCTGTTAAGCCAAACTATTTGAATTAATTTGGTAGAAATGTGATTAATTATGAAATTTAAATAAACAAATGTAAGAAAACGTGATCTGCCGCATAATTACAATTTCTCTTAAATTCTTCAAGTGGAGCATTTGACTTCTAATTGGGAAGTAAAAATATTGTCGATTGCACATCATCATCATCATCATTTTAGCAAAATAGACTAGGCTATGGGTATGAAACTGCAAAAGACCATTAAGGAAAGTCTTGGCAACACTTAAATTGGTTAGAGAGAGGATATTATGGAGCCACTTATACGAGTGCCCTGCAGTTTTCCCCATCTCTCTAGAGTGCACCATTCATGTTCCTGAATGCCGATGTTTTAGAAGGGACTTCAATTAGTTTCTTGGTCGCTGAGCCAACTTTGATAATAGCTTAATTGTGTCACTGTCCTTTAAGTTTATGAAGCTGCATTAGTCACTAATGGGCACAAGCAACAAGATATGAATTTTAATTCAATGAATATCTCTCTGAACGCCCTTCCAATTACTGGGTGTATGCGATGGGCTTCCAACCAATCCGCTACTTTGTC